CAATTCTTGCTTTGTTTTTGCCACTGACAAAGCACCAATGCTGTCCAGCAGTGGTGGGGCTGTGTGAATGCTCATGTGGCAAATCCTGGTGTGCATGGGGATATCTGTCAGATGTCACAGCCACCTCCACACTTGGGGATGGGTGGAATAGTCACAGGCTTCATGATCCCGGCCCACATCACACCAGTCCTAAGGGACAGGACTGAAGAGAAAGTCAGAGCACCAAAAGAACTCACCCAACTTGCCAGGCTCTCTCCTGGAGCAGCAGAGGAGGCTCTCCAGGAAGAAAACTGTACAGGGCTCTTGCCAGCATACCAGGGAACCCAAAAACTTGGCATCATCACCAAGGCTGCACTCAAACCCTCAGTGCCAGTCAAGCCATGATGGATGTGTCAAATCTGATCTGCTCCAAGGCATCAGGGTTGGGCTTGTCAATCAAAAAAGAATTGTTAAGCTTTTCTGGGACTACCCATGGGAGTTGTTCATTAAAGGAACCCAGCATTTAGTCTTACTATTCACAGATTTCAACAACCTCATGGCTGGTGCAATCAACATCCCACCACAAACCCTCATTAGAAGACCCTGGTGTTTACCTAAAACTGAGTAGCATTTAAAACCCAGGAGGAACAGCTGCCTACACAGGAAGTGGAAAGTCAGAAGACAGAGAAAGAAAAACAGTTCCTGTCATGAGGATTCACCTCACTCAGCAGAAAATAGGAACTTGATTTTTATCATAACACAGAATTCCCCCCTCCTCAACACAGAAATCCATCAGGGCATGGATTAAAACCAGACCACCTGTGGTAGCTCCTTGTGAGCACAGTTTACTCCTCCAATTGGAATGATGTTGGGCATCAAAGGCCTTGGGTAGTCAAGCACAAACTCTAACCTCAGGAGCCAAACAGAGCCCTTGCGTAAAAGATCCAGCACAGTCACCTCCCGCCGCAGGAACTCGGAAGCCAGTTTTGAGTAGGATTGAAAGACAAAATCACAGAGGAAAATATTTGGGATGTCAAAGAGAAGGTTCTTCACCCGCTGGAGAAAGGTCATGCGGTCTGTAAGGTCTGTAAGTATCCTGGGCACATAGGAAGGGGGCCTGGGACACTGAGTGGCTTCAAAATCTAACCCACATGGGACTCCTCGTAAGAAATACATGGAAGGAAGGGAAAGATGCTCAGCCAGGATGGCCCCACAGGGTAGAAATGGGTCTGTAAGGACAGCATCAGACTTACTCTCCTCAAGGTACCTGATGAGCTCTTTGTTTTGCAGGAGATGTTCACAGCTGGAGACCTCCAATTTAGTGATTCTTTTCATACTTTCAAATACTTTAAAAAATCTTTCAAAAAAAGATCCCTCTTCAAATGAAACCTGAAAGAATGCCTTGAAATCTTTCTCCATCTCCTCCTTTGTGTAGGGAACCGAGTACATTTTCATCACAAAGTTCTTTGATGGCTTGATGTGCAAGGAG